ATATATATATATATACCTATTACAAACAAATACCGACATACCCACATGCCCATATACATACCTACATACCTACGTACACACACACATACATACATACATACATACATACGTGCATACATACATGCATGCATACATATATACAAACATACATACATACATACATACAGACAGACAGACAGACAGACAGACAGACAGACAGACAGACAGAAAGACAGACAGACAGACAGACAGACAGACACCACATACACAGAGCTACGTGTGAGATACGTCATGATGAACGACAAATGGACATCACACCAAGTTTGTGCTGTGAACTCCGTTTGATCCTGTGCATCGTGGGAGATGCTGCATTTGCATGCACGCATGGATGCACACATACCGACATCGTTCTTGCAGAAGAGGTATGGCGAGAGCGAGTTGACCAAGGGCGTCGGCTTTCAAAGTTTTTGGTCTTAGAGCGTGGCTTGGGCAGGCTGCGACTACATCTTCGAGCTGAAGATATCTGAACCCCCTCCCACTGCCACGTCCCGCGAATCTCGTCGCTTTCAGGGCCGGACCACACGCTTCCTGGATCTGCTCGATTGACACGCTTGCGTGGCGAAGATCGCTGGCCTCAAAGGTCTCCTGCCGGGTCTCGCAAGGTCTCCAGAAGCCTCTGGTGGCCCTTTGGCCATCTCTAGATTCTTGAAAATTCAACAAGTGCCGGGAGAACCAGAAGTTTACTGAAACGGGTTGAAGGTGTTGGGTGAATCTTGGGAAGCCTGTCCGGCTTCTGATTTAGAGGCCTGGTATGCATCCGACTCCTGCGTCTTCTCACATCTCACCTTCCAAGAGATTCCTGGGGTCTTGTTCGGGAATCCACGGCTCAGGGCTTAGGGCTTAGGGAATTTAAATTTAAATGTCCATAATAAAGGAATAAGGGTACCTCATTACTTACCCTTGACACCGGATAGGGCAACGTAAAACGATTCCTTAACAAGAACCCAGATTCTGCCATCTGCGCCATCACGTGTCTTCTGCATCACCACGCCCCTGCGCCAAGCGCCGCCACCCTGGCTTTCAGTCTTGCCGTATACTGGACAACCAGAGGTGAACTCAGATCCCAGGAAGTCGACGACATCAACCTCGTCGTAGTCCCACTTGCTGCCTTCCTGTTTCCGCAGACTGTCGAGCGTCGCGAGTTCACATTTCTGAGAACCACCACATCCGATGTTGTCCCAAAGATCGGTGGTCTCCTGCGAAAGCCTGTCCATGGACAGCTTACCTTGTCCCACTTGCCCGGGGAAGAAAACCGCTTTGAGCCGTTGTCCCCCGGCAACAGCTTCGCGGACCCGGTCCAGCCACTTGGGGTACCAGGCACACCCCCAGGAGGCCACGCAGCCGCACTTC